GCTCCCCATGCAGAGCAGACAGGAAGAGACATTTCAAAAAATACTGGGGCTTTAAAAGGGATGGGTGCATAGCAGAATACCGGGCTGCAAGGCAGCAGAGAAGAAACTGCTGACCAGAGCATTCATGATGGGCATTGTAGGATACTTTCTGGAGGCCACTCAGGGTGAGAGGAGCAAGTGCACTGTCTATACCAACATGGCATCATTCTAACTTTGCATTATAAGCTCTCTGCTGTTTGTTGGGGTAGTTTTATTATGTCAGCAAAACAGGAGGGTTAAATCAGTGATAGGCTCACTGCTATGTGTACGCCTTCACTGTTTTATTGATGAAACCTGACTTTTGATGCAGCTAGGCCTACGTATGCAGCTAGGCCTACACTACTGCTAATGTCAAGACCAGACGCATTGCAGTATCTGTATGTGTAGAAGGACTCATTAGCATATGTTGCAATCTCATTAGCATATTTTCTGCTGTTTCTTTTTGCTCAAGGGGTTTTTGCGCAAAAAGAAGCAGTATGGACCTTTTTTTTTTTTTGCGCAAAAACCCCGTTTTGCACAAGATCATTATGTCTGTCCCGGAGAGGCATAAGGATCTTGCAAAAATGGGGTTTTTGCGCAAAAAAGAGTCAATGCTGCTGCTTTTTGCACAAAAAGAAACAGCAGAAAATATGTTAATGAGATTGCAAAGTATGCTAATATTTTCTGCCGGAAGATCTCGCTGTGAAGATGAAGCCAGAGCAATCTTTTAAAAGCTATAGTTACAGACCTGTGATCTGCAGAGTGCTATTGGGTTTGTGTCTCCTTTTTTCTTTTTTGGTAAAGAGGGCCTGAAAGGTTATAAGGAAGATGATTTTTTTCCTTTCTCCTTAACAATTTAATTTTTTTTCTACCTGGGAGGACATTTGAATTTGTCAAGATGGGATCCTGATCTATACTACAAACATGTAGAAATACCAACCCAACTCCCAGTGTAGACAGCACTGTGTTGACCGGAGGGTTTCACCCTTTGACATAGCAACTACCTCTCAGGGAAGTGGAGTACCTGTGCTGATAGGAGAGGCTATCCAGTGAGCGTAGGTCATATCTTTACAAAGGGCAGGTCTACAATATGGGGTTAAGTTAGCCGGAGTGTAAATTAAGCTACGTGAATACTGGAGTTGATGCACCTTAGGTTGAATTACAACAGGCTCTCCACAGCAGAGGGTGTGTGGGGGTGTTGAGGAGAGAAACTCTCCCATCGACTTCCCTTATGCCTCTTATTCAGGTGGAGTACTGGAGTTAATAAGAGAGTGATAGGCTGTCTATTTAGAAGATCTTCACTAGACCCATTAAATCAACCCCTGGGGATCAATCATCAGCTCTGTTGGTCCCACAGTAAGTGTAGACACACCCTATGTGCTAGATCAGTGTGCATGTTGCAGCTGAGCTGCTGCAGTGCTTTAAGTGTAGATGAACCCAAGGAAAAGAGGTGCTCTTTAAAAACAGATAATGTAACTCTGGTGAGCTAACATAACTTGAAACTGTTTTAACATTTATATAAATACCGTTTAGCACCTTTACCGCTGTTGAAGATACTGGAGCCTACCTAGGCTTTCCCCAGACAATAAAACTAGTGAAAGGACATCAACAAGAGAAAGAGCCTTTAAGTCAAGCAGTTGAGAAGGAAGTGATAGACACACCAATTTAATGCTGCAGGCTAACGAACATTTGAGACAAAGGCTATCTTTGTTGAAAGTTTCAGCATCTCTGCTATGTAAGTTAAAACATGAGTTTTTACAATAAACATCTGAAATCTCCAAGAAATGTTTCAGGAAAATTAGGGAAAGGGACTAGTTTGACAATATAAAAAAAAATAAAAAAATTTGTGTTTTGGAATGGCAGGGCCTAAAACCCTTAAGTCAGCTCTATATATCGTACAAAAATGGCGAAAGAATGTTCTGCAGCTTCTCTTTCTAAGCTTTTAAAATGCTTCAGGGTCTGATTCTGAGAAATTGATCTCAAAGGGAGTTTCACATGCTCTCAAGATTGGCTCTGATTTGTGGCGTAAGTATGATTATTTGTAAACTGGTTGGAATCTGTTAATTATGGAGACAATAACCATGATTCGTTTGTGAAGAATTATAATAAAACTATGCAGTTTAAAAACTGCTTTTGTCTCTAATCTTCAATCACTTAGGCCTGGTCTACACGCAGTATTTGTACCAATGTAATTATTTTGGTTAAGGATGCGCGTGATTTTTGGTAAACTAAAAGTAATTTTACCTGTACAATCCTTAGTGTGGACACAATCATACAAGTGCTGCTTATTCTCCTTTCTGTATGGGAACTGATACAATAGTGTAAAACAACTTTATATTGATATAGCTAAAATGGTATAATTTTTGTGTGTAGACAATCTGTTGGACAAATGCTTGAATTTCAAGCACAAAAATTGTCCTATAAGCATGCTTACTATTAGTGGGTTAGGAACATAATTATTTGATGTAATTTAGGTCTGTAATCTAAAGTATGTGAGTTGATTTTTCAATGTAAGAAAATCCAGTTTTTGAAGAGAATAAATTGAGCCATAAATTGAGCTAAAGCCATACATTTTAAGTCAATATTGTAATAGAAAATATACTATGGTAGACAAAGATGCCTTATTTTAAAATTATCTCAATAAGATCTTTTTGTGATAAGGTGAATGATTATACCATGATTATCATTTAAAAATGCTTCAGTTAAATCCAACAAATACAGCATAAAATGTGTGTATGAACTACCTTGAAAATTTTAGTTACAATTGTTTTCTTCAAAAATCTTGAATAAAGATTGGAAACCTGCAGTTGTTGTAAAGCTTAATATAACATGAGATTATTGTGGCTCTTATTTCAATCTCTCTTTAAGAAAAAGTCATTTCAAAATGTGTTTTCATAAAACACGTAATGTAGGAGGACTCTTAATAAGGTCAGCAGCCAGTTCAAACATTCTGGATCTCTCTATTTATTCTTAAAAAAAAAAAAAAAGTTACTTTCAGCCTGGAGTGTTATCTTAATTATATTTAAAATTCTTTTGTCTGAGAGAGTTGTAAGTAGTATAAATATCTTAACATTGATACTTGATGAGATATAAGGTGATTCAGTATAAAATTGGTCTCAAGATAGGTTTGTGAGCAGATGTAACCAGTATACTTATTTTCATTTGAAAGAATATTTATACACTGCATGTTCTTACCACTTGATGACTCAGTAGGAAGTGAGAGCACCAATTTAAACCACAATGCTAAGAGGAGGAAACTATATATGGTAAAATAATTTCTTATACACCGGATTCTTGCACACACTAAGTAGCTGTTGTTAAAACACACTTGTAAGTATACATACAATAGACTTTCGTTCTGTATATTATACTATATGACATCTTGCAAAGATACAATTTTGCATTTGAAAGTTGCTGCTGTTAAATATTTACCATATGGTAAGTTGTGCTAAACTTTGTAATTTCATAGTATGTTCCTTGGGACAACACTTCAATTTTGGTTGCCTTTGGAAATTTGCCAGTGGAAAGAATAGTGACTATCTAGGGTCTTTGATTTTTGTAGTAAAATGAAAAATAGATTATCCTTGATTAATTTGGTCAAGATTTTTGGATGAAAAATAGGTGTTTGATATTTTTCCCCCTATGGAGTCTTTTCTTTTTTTACTCCTTTAGCCTTTTCTTTGATGGCACTGTTATTCCATGTGCCAATTCTGAGAATATTGGTTATATATTAATAGTGTACATGAATTCATTTGGTGATTAAAAACTGTGCTGAGATATGAGTCCCATCATTAACTTCTACCAATCAGTCTCTTTTTTTTCAAGAGAGACTGACCTCTCTCATTCACCAGAGCCTCCTGTAACCTAAGAGAAGGTTCCCTGAGCTGGGACAGTGAAGACCAGGAATTCAGGTCTCACCTTTAAATGCTATTTAAATTCTTATGAGACTTGCTAAACTTATTATTGACCAAGGGGCCATGAACTCTAATCCAGAAAACAAGTTGGGGGACAAGCTGTTGAAAATTCCCTTTCCCCCTGTTTTTGAAGAGGCCAGCAGGAGGCTTATACAAGGGCACTGTGAACCCAGGTTTCTAATGTGACTACCCTGCTTTTATCCATCTTTCAGTGTGACTCGTACTATTTTTAACAACCGTGCACATGTTTCCTAGTGGGGTTTACCAGGCTGAGAGGTTTGCTCCATAGTTTCCCCTATGGGTACATCTGCACTGAAATAAACAAAAATCCCCTTGGCAGTGAGGCTCTGAGACCAGGTCAGCAGACTTTGGCTCATAGGGCTCATGCTCTGGGACTCAAAATAGCAGTGTAGAGACATTCCACCTTGAGCTACAGTCCAAGTTCTGAGACTCTCCCCTGACTTGGATTCAGGACCCAAGCTTGAGCAAAAACATCTACACTGCTAGTTTTAGCCCTGTAGCATAAGCCCCAGGCAGTTAACTTGGCTCTGAAAATTGCTGCTGCAGGTTTTGGGAGGAGGAGGTTGTTTGGGTTTTTTGCCCTGTAGCTATACTCTATGTGCCCCTAGCTTTAACTAGGGATGTAAAAGAGTAGTCAAGTCAACTACTTGCATTTCCACCTGCCCCCCTTGCTGCCTCTATATTAGAGGCAGTGGGGGAGGGGAGAGCAGGAGCCAGTTTGAAAGCTGGTTCCCTCCAGCACTGTCTCTGTGGTGCTGCTTGGCTCCCCTCCTCCCCTGCACTGCTGCTTCCAGGGGAGGCTCCTCTGGCAGCAGCCACTGTCTGTGGGATGTCCCATTGGGGACTTGGGACCCTCCCCTCCCCCTCCATGGACAAGAGCTGCTGCGGCAAACCATTTACTACATTTAAACTGTAGAGCCGCAGTGGGGCTAGTTCCTTCTGAGCACCTTCTCTTACAACTACCCACTTCTTAACATCCTTTGCTTTAACATCCCTGGGCAAGGGCTGGAATTAAAAATACCATTTGGCATGATCCACTAGTTTCATGTTCCTTCTCTAGACAGATGCATGTTTTTCTCCAATAGATGGAGCATAAGGAAGCCTACTCAAGGTCTGTTTAGGAAGCATCACTGGGTATAGAATTTCAGAGCCCAGTTTGGACATGAAGTAGTGGTAAACTTGGTCAGTTATTAAGTGAAATTAATTGTAATTTTTGCCATAGTCTCTGAAGTTCTTAACTTAGATTCATATTTCCCAAACTTTTGAAAGTTGAGCCTCCTTTTGGGGAGAAAAAATCCCAATCGTGCCTCCCCCCCACAATCTCTCAGAGAATGTTAAAGGCCTATTGTTCCTTTTTGTTTATATATCTTCATTTACCATCACTTCTCCTCTTCCCTCATGGAAGTCTTGGTGTATGTCTTGATGATGATATACTTTCTCTCCTTTCTTGCATATTTCGAGCAATAAGCAATTATGATATTTAAAGTACAGGCAGTCCCCGGGTTACGTACAAGATAGGGACTGTAGGTTTGTTCTTAAGTTGAATCTGTATGTAAGTCGGAACTGGCGTCCAGATTCAGCCGCTGCTGAAACTGATCAGCAGCTGATTCCAGGAAGCCCGG